ACAAGATTCTGGGAAAACAATATACAAATGATAACTATGCTGTCATGAGTATACTGAATTTTAAAAATAAATAACTGTCGACCCAAAAAGCTTCCAGGAGCCTATGGAGTGAGTTCTTTTTCCAAACCGTTCCAAAACCAGATGTGGAAATGTTTAGCTAATTCCCCTACCCATTCTCCATGCAGAGAATTCCTACGTGTGTGCCTCTAACGACATCAGCGGAGATGCAGAGACAAAACCCCTGTCTGCTCTCAAGGAGATTTGAATTACACTTCACAGTTCACTCCCTAACATCACAAAACGAATTTGAACGTCAGCTTTTGTCTCTTTTAAAAAGGGATTTTTTTTTGGTCGCAAGATTAAAAATACTCTGTGTTTAGACCAATATTCAATCTTTCTTGTAAGACATTCAGAAATAGACTAGCTCATGGTAAGGAAATTTGAAATCTACCTTTTTAGCGATTTTGAAGTCCACAGCACATTATTATTAACTATAGTCACCATGCTGTGCACTAGATCTCTGGAACTTATTCCTCCTGTCTAACGGAAACTTTGTACTTTTAAACCAACATCACCCCTTTTTCTGTCTACTGCACATTCCAACTACTGCTCTACTCTTTACCTCCATAAGTAAGTAAAGCGACAGACGTCAGCCGCTGAACTTTATAAGCAGCATTTTCAGCATAAAAAATTGATGGAAAGTTAAGTGGCAACTCTTCTTCCTCTTTCCTTTTTTTGTTTGTTTGGGCCCTTCCATCTTCTTCCTGTCTATGAGAAGTGGACTGTCTTGGTTTCACAAGTACTACAAGATAAGATCTCAGTCTTGCTTTACTAATCTGACTGTATCATTCTCAGTGACTAATATAGGTATGCCTTAAAAATGTGCACTTGAATTCTTCCAACTTAATTAAAGGAGCAGTTTGATTACTGGAGGAAAAGGAAATAGAGTTCGTGTTTCCAAAACAAAACTTTTCATGATTTTTTTAATGTAAAGGATTTATTAAGGCTTATTAAGGGGTTCTTGAAAAAAGGGAAGGAGGAAAACTCTGATAAAGGAGCTAATGGGAAATGTATATGTATAAACTCCAGCTAGAAAAACAAAAAGCTACTTGTACTCTGTAGCTTCAGGGAAAGCAAATATTTTGCATCCAGGTGTTATTAGCAGGGCTGGATTTTTCTGACCTCTCTATAGCTCAGTTCAGGATGGTATGTGCCAGTATCTGAGCCCTGCTTGGCTATGCAAATACATCTAAGCTCATTGCTTCTGAAATATAGCGGGGATAATTTATGATCAAGTCAAAATGGGGCTATGGGAACGCAACCCCTAAGATCTGCTTTCTTCCTTAGCCCAGAGCCTCAGCAAGAAGCTGGACAGGGGTCCCAAGGTGACTGCTCCCTTCTCTGCATTGATTTCCTCCACAGTCCTCAACTCCACCTCAGTTCTGAAGAGTTCTGAAGGCTTTAAATAGAATTCTGCCCACAGCTCCTGGGATACTGTGCACAGCCCAAGCTAGGGCTAAAAATACCTTCAGTTTGGCACTGCCACACAACCCTCTCTTCTGGCATCTCCTTCTCATTCCTTGGCTGTCTTTTCCTTCTGTCCCCAATAACCAGAGCCCACCTTGTCCTCCCTTGTCCAGGATTCCATTCTTCCAGCACATCTCAGTGAGGTGTTAGAAAAGCCAGCTGATGAATCCACACTGTGTTGTGAATGATTTCTAACCATCCCCCAACACACACACACACACACACACACACACACACACACACACACACACACACACCCCTACCCCTACCCTCCCTTGGGAAGTGCAGGCAGCAGGGGAAGGGAGGCTGCCCATTTTGATGACCTGTGCTCAGCAAGAGGGAACATCTCCCAAAGTATACCACTGAGCTCAGCATTTAGCACAAGTTCACGCTGCCTTTCCCCTAATCTCTCCACTCCTCCTTCTCACCCTGGAACATGTGTCCCACCCCACTGACTTCCTCCTTAAGCTTTGTCTGAGCTCAAAGGTATGTTGTCACAGCACAGGCATCTTCATTTATTGCTCTCATCACATGGCAGTCTGTTCCTGACTTTCCGAAAATCAGAGAAAACACTTTCTGTCCTGTCCAAGTTTGGAAATTTGTACTAAATGACCCCCAAACTTAATGATGTTATTGGGCCCCTTCCTTCAAGGTGAATTCAGTGCATTGTAATTCAAGAGGTAGATGTGTGTGTGAGGAGACGTGAGATAGTTTAAATGCTAAAATGATTGCTTGAGGGACAACTGTCTTGTTGGTAGGAAAATTTAGGCTTTTTATAACTCTATTTGGATTATTCATTGGATGACAGGAGGGCAAGGAGTATAGGAAAGATGCTTGAGGGAAGAAGAGGAAATGGATAGCTTAACTCCCTGGACAAGAACAACCTTAAACTTGGGTCTCCATTTGGGGGTTCAGGTGATCCTTTTGCTTCAACCTTCCAAGTAGCTGGAACCACAGGCGTGCGCAACCATGCCTGGCTATTTTTAAAAAATTTATTGTAGAGATGAGGTCTTGCAAAGTTGCCTGGGCTGGTCTCGAACCCCTGGGGGATTTGAACAACAAAAATGGAATTAAATAATTGTTTTCTTGGCCTATGGTAACAACTACTTATTCATTCAGGGCAAATGGGCCTAGGCTGTGAGCTGATATTTAAGAAAGAATGAAAGAAGGAGAGAGAGGAAAGGAGAGAGGGAGGGAGAGAAAGCCACTCCTGAAGCATACTTAAGACAAGGTGATCCTCTTTAGAACAAGATAGAAGTGCAGTCGTGATGGGGTATCTCAGCTTCGGAAAGGAGCCTCAGCAAATATCATGCCTCATTCTGGAGCAAGCGGTTTGTTTACTTAACTCTTGAGTCATCCAGTATCAGAATTTGCTTATTTGCATTGTTGTTGTTTTAGTTTGTTTGGGGTTTGCAGTAGGGGTAAGAAGATAGGGATAGGGGTTCTTTGTTTGTTTGTGGCCGCTGCTTTTTTTTTTTTTTTTTTTGCGTTAGAGTCTCACTCTGTTGCTCAGGCTGGAGTGCAGTGGCACTCTCATAGCCCCTGCAGCCTCGACCTACTGGGTTCAGATGATCCTTCTGCCTCAGTCTTCCAAGTAGCTAGAACCACAGGTGTGCACCACCATGCATGGCTAATTTTTTAAAAATTTATTGTAGAGATGAGGTCTTGCCAAGTTGCCTGGGCTGATCTCAAGCCACTGGGTTCAAGCAATCTGCCTCCCAAAGTGCTGGGATTACAGGTGTGAGCCACCACACCCGGCCAATTTTTGCTTTTGAAAAACGAAAACAAAAAAAAAGCAGTTCCAGGAGAGACATTTCAGAATGAACAAAAATGAAAGGAGGGAGCCCAGCAGACCCTTTAGTCTTCTCTTTTATACCCTGACACCCCTGAGAGAATGAGGAGTCGTTAATGACAGGGGGACAGATAGTAAGACTGATCTGTATCAATCAGGAGCAAAACATTTCATCCAGGCCAGTGCACTTTTCTAACAGGCTTCTAATGCCATGGTTCTCATTAAAGAATGCAACAGATTCATCGATATCAAAGGAAGAGAAAGAGCCACATTTTTGCTACCAGGGAATAAAGAAGGAAAGATATGTGATAGTTTGGGCCCAGCACTATGCACATAGTATGCATTCAATTAATACTAGTCAAAGAATGAATTAATTTACTCAGGGGTTACATAGCAGGGTACAGAAGTGAATTCCTACATTTATGCATGTACTTTTCCTTTCAAATGTTAGACACTTTACTCTCATTTTTTGATGTATGTCATTTTGAAAAGAAAGCTGAGTTGGACAACATTTGATGACGCTGTTCTTGCTTCCTCTTCCTTCATTTGTCACCTCCTTTTGAACACTTATTCTCAGCACTACTAAAAGAAAGCCACTCCTGAAACATGCTTAGGACGAGGTATTCCACTTTAGATCAAAACAATAGTGCAGTTGTGATGGGGTGAGTATCTCAGCTTCCGAAAGGAACCTCAGCAAATATCATGCCTCATTCTGGAGCAAGTGGTTTGTTTACTTAACTGTTGAGTCATCCAGCACCAGTTGACGTCAGAATGTACTTATTTGTGCTTTGCCTGCCACTCTTTAAGAGGTAAAAGCAATAGGACTAGGAAGTAGCCACAGAACTTCTTATTGAAAAAGAAGCTAGTGAAAATAAAATAAGAAAATAAAGCAAAGATTTTGGGAGATATCTTGCCAATGTGTAAAACACAAACCCAGTGCTCTCTTTCTTTAAGACTTTCAAGTAGATTTTCTCTGTAACATGCATTGAAAAATGTAAAATTAAAAACCAGGATGTTGTTATGTTTCTGCAATTTCATTAGTTTACAAGGTGTCCTGATGAAAGTATCAGGGAACCTACTGGTCATAAAGATTTCTGAAGCTACTGCTGGTGTTTATGAAGCATTCATTTGATCATCTTAAGCAAGTCATTCAGCAAAATTTCAGCATTTGGTTGTTAGAAAGAAACCACAATTTCTTTTTAAATCTTTACTTAAATTTATTGCTAACAAAAAAAGCAATAGGGAGGTTTTCATTAATATGATCTATGTGAGGTCAGTGGGACCCTTAAAGATGGAAGTGTCACCATCCTGAATTAAACTGTATCTGCTGTCTCCTTATTCAGTGTTTGACAAAAAACTATTTCTGTTCTGTTCTGGTTTTGTCTTGTGGTTGCACACAAAAGGGTACCACTCTTGATCAGTGTAGAGTGTCATTCTACATATGTGTTTGATACCAGAACAATGCGGTAAAGTCACTTAAAGAAGTCATCCATAAACACGCAAGTTCTAACAATGAAATTAAAGTTAAGTTCTTTCTCACTTGAATGTTTTCCCTTTCTTAATACTTTAGGAACAGGCTTTTCCTTAAAAAAAAAAAAATATATATATATATATAAACATGTTTGAACTTTGATAGAAAGAAAATAAGATGACTTGCCTCTTATTTTTTTGTGTGCCCTAGAAATCCTCACTGGACAGCTTCCTGTTTCCTGTGCTTTGTTACCTGATTGGCTGCAGGGATGAAAGCTTTCGAGTTAATTGGAGGAATGGTCCTCCTCACCTCTGTGTTTTCAGCATGTTCCGGACAACGTGCAATGTCTGTGCTGTGCTCCATAGATTGGTTAATGGTCACAGTACACCCCTTCATGTTGAACACTGATGTATATGTACACTTTCATGAGCTACACTTGGGCCTGGGTTGCCCTGCCAACCACGTTCAGCCATATATCTACCAGTTTACCTACCGTGTTACTGAATGTGGCATCAGGGCCAAGGTCATCTCTCAGGACGTGATTATCTACAGCACTGAGTTGCACTACACTTCTAAGGGCACATCATCTAGGTATGTGTTCCCAGTGTCATGTGCTACCCCTCAAAAGTCCCCATGGCTCACCAAGCCCTTCTCCATGAGAGTAGCCAGCAAGAGTGGAACCAGAGCACCAAAGAATGAGACATGCTATGAAGTGTTCAGCTTGTCACCGTCCAGCCAAAGGCCTGACTGTGACTGTCCACCTTGTGTCTTCAATGAGGAAGGGCAAACTCAGGTCCCCTGTCACCAAGCAGAGTCTCAGGAGGCCCATTCTATGCAGCCATCTCACTTTCTTGATATTGGTGAGGATTGGTCTCTTCGCTCGGATGATCTGATTGAGTCCATGTGATCCCCAGGTTTGAAGTCTCCAGAAGATACTGTTTCTAGAACTACTATACAGTGTTTACGCATATCAGACAAATAAGTGTTCTTGTGGCCCTCTTCTGAGCGTTTTTGAGAAAGGGCAACCCATGGCAACTTTATGAATAAAGCTTTTTAAATATTTTTATATCCTTTTTAAAGGAGAATAAAATTCTGGTGGCATAAAAAATATCAGTTGGGCATTTTTATTTAATAAATACATACATAATTTTTACTGTGGACTAGGCATTGTTCTAAGTGGCTTCCAAACATTAGTGCCTGGTCTCCTGTCTAGGATGGCCTCTTTCTCTTTTAAGGTCCTCCAATACAGCCTCCTCCAACTGAGTTTCCCCATCCATTGTCCCACTTCACTTACACTCCGCACCAGTAACTTAGTACTTAGCTACAGACTTTCTGGTAGATAAAGCTTGGGGGGAATCACATGAGTGCAGGGAATTAGGACAACAGAATCCAAATTTCCCAACACTCAATCTTCAAGGCTTCATTAGGAAAGGGGCAGGTGAAGAACAGTCATCGAAGGAGACAAAAGTGATCAGAGAGATGAAAGGGGAAGTGTGACTCATGGAATTCTCAGGAGGAAAACTTGATCTACAGCTGTGCCACTTTTTATCCATGGAAAGCATAGATTGCACTAGTGATTTATAAACCACCCATGGTTCTAAGAAGCACTCAGGTCACCACCCACCAGCTAGATGGTAAGCCCCTGAGGCCAAGGGCTGGAACTTATGCTTTAGTCACAGATTGATAGTACCTTAAGAGGAGTTTTCAGAACATTTTCAGCAGCATCTGGCTGTCCATTAGCTTTTTCAAAGACTTAGAGGCATAAGAGGGAATTAATTGTTCAATACATATTTGTTGTTTGCTACTACATGCCAGGCACTGTCCTAGGCACAGAGGATAAGGCAGTGATTAAAGGGGGACTTGGAGAAATTGAGTTAACACGGCAAATAAGAAGGTAAACAAAAATGAATTCAGGCCGGGCTGTGTGGCTCAGCCGGTAATCATGGAACTTTGGGAGGCGGAGGTAAGTGGATTGCCTGAGTCCGCGGGTTCAAGACCAGCCCAGGCAATTTGGCGAGACCTCTTCTCTACAATAAATCAAAAATTAGCTAGGCATGGCAGTGTGCACCTGAAGTTCCAGCTACTTAGAAGGCTGAGGTGGCAGGATCGCTGGAGCCCAGCAGGTCGACACTGGGGTGACTGTGAGCATGCCACTGCACTCCAGCCTGGGTGACGGAGTGAGACTCCAACTCAAAAAATAAAATAAAATAAAATAAAATAAAATAAATTCAGATAGCAGCAAATGCTATGGAAAACTTAAAGTGATATGAGAGAAACCAAAGTAGGTAGGAAGGGCAAGGCCTCTGAGGACTTATCATTTGAACTGAGTCTTGAATGTGAGGAAGAAGCCAGTCCTGAGATGATCTGGAGAAAAGAAATATTCCAGATAATAGAAGCACCTCATTTAATCCTCACTACAACCTATGCAAGAAATATGCTTCTCATACCCATTTTATAAATAAGAAAAATGAGGCACAGAGTGATCAAGAAACTTGCCCACCTATTAAGAAGCAGACTCTTTCAAAACACCATGTTGTATACCATAGATAGAATTTTTATTTGTCATTACAAAGGAATTAACTCATTTTTAAAAAATAAGTAGAAAATGTCAGCATAATGTTTGTACATTTATTAATAATATAGGCAAAGCGCTTCAGCAGATGAGTAGATATTAGAGATTCAGCCATGGTTGTTGAAGAAGCACAAGCTGTTCATTTAAAAGTCCCCTGTCCCTCCTTGAGGAAAACCAGGTAATAATCCCCCAAAACAGTGTATTCATGCAACAAACGTTTACTGGGCTTCTCTTATGTGCCAGACACATAATGATGCTGAGGATGCAATGGGGAATAAGATTGACAATCTAATCGGGGTGAGGGAGGCAAATAAGCCTGGGGAACTAGAAGCTGTAGAGGCTACCCCAGACCAGAGGACGGGCCTGTGCAAAGACATGAGGGCTTGGGCTGAGTTCATCAAAGAAAGTGCAAGTCCAATACAGTGGAGGTAGGTTGGGGGATGGTGATGGTGGTGAGTGACAGGGCTAGAGCAGTAGCAGTATACAAGTCTGTGCACAAGAGAGCTAGCCTGTCCCTCTCACATCCACTCTTCAGGAGCTTACAGATTACTCAGCATTCGAACACATGCAAGCAACTTACCAAACAATCAATACTAGACACATTAGACCTGCGTTCCTATGTTCAGGGTGAGCATCTAGCAACTGCAAGACTCCCGTGGTAATAATAGGAGTTACCATGTGCTAGACATTGTATACACAATCTCACTTAATCCTCACAATAGCTCTACAAAGTGAAATGATTTTCCCTGTTTTACAGGTGGGGAAACTGAGGCTCAGAGAAATGGAAGTTGTACAGTTAGTAAATGATGTTACTGGGACTCAAATCCTGGTTTGTCTGGCTCCAAAGTCTACTTTTCCCTCTACATTCAGCACTCCCTCCCAGAGAAGAGTCTCCCGTGTGAATTGGAAGATCCTGGAAGGTTAACTGGTAGAGGTAGGCAATGACCCCACTCTTAGAAGACGAGGAGGACCTGGCTAAGCAGAGAAGAGAGAGAAGAGCATTCTTCATGAGCATAAGCCCTGGAAAAGGGTGGACAAGTGCACTGTGTTGGAGGGAGGTCATTTGGGGGGGTTTGTTCTAACTTTGGTGAGAGGAGATGAGGAGAGCAGATGGGGAAGGCATTGAAGGGTAGGCAGAGAAGAAAATGAGAGTCATTTCAAGTGAAGAACAACAGGACTTCATTAATTTTCACCTACCAGAAACAGTTAAACATCTATAGAAGCCCTATTCATGATTAAGAGTTAAGTTGAGTAGTGCAGGCTAATATGGATGCTCCAGGCTCTGGAACAAAGAGGACAGGCTTCCCAGAGGACATGACTTCAGCAAAGCTCTGATCTGTCTGACTGGATATATGTGAAAATGAAGAGATTGACTCAAAGAAGATGTCACCATTTGGAGCCCAAGAAGCTCACAAGACATAGTAAGCTCTGGATTTAAGTAAGGAAATGGGGTAGACTCGAAGATGGGGGGAAGATGAGTCTAGGTTGGACATGTTGAGTTTGAGATGATAGTGACATCCAAGTGGGTACGTCTAGGAATCACCTCAAGAAATGGGGCCAGGGCTCGAGTAAAGGGTAATTGCTGGGAGATAAAGCCTTTGGGGACCACATGAATGTAGGAAATTAAGAGCAAAGAACCCGAATTTCCCTACACTCAGTTCTCAAGGCTTCATTAGGAAAGAGTCAGGAGAAAAACAGTCATCGGAGACAGAAGAGAAGTGATCAGAGAGATGAAAAGAGAAGTGTGACTCATGAAATGCTAAGGATCACAGCTGGGTGGCCTATAGTCTCCAGTGCCACCGACAAGCCAGGAGGGAGTAAGCCTACCGGGAGCCTTTGAACTGGACCTTAAGGGAGTGGTAGAATTTCATCAGGTGAAGAGGCGGAGGGCATTCCAGGCAAAAGGAACAGCAAGACACAAGGAAACACTGTGGTCAAGAATTATATTTTGCATGAGGTGAGTGGTGGCTCATGCTTGTAATACCAGCACTTTGGGACGCTGAAGTGGGAGGATCGCTTGAGACCAGCCTGGGCAACATAACGAGACCTCGTCTCTACAAAAAAAATCAAAAAAAGTAGCTAGGTGTGGTGGCGCATACCTGTAGTCCCAGCTACTTGGGGAGGCTGAGGCAGGATTGCCCGAGCCCAGCAAGTTGAGGATGCAGTGAGCTGTGATTATGTCATTACACTCCATCCTGGACAACAGAGTGACACCCTATCTCCATACATACATACATACATATATACATACATAGTCATATTCTGCTTGGGCTTATATCTCAGGATAATTAGGCATAAATTTTCAAATTTTAATAGTAATCTAGATTAGTAGGCGTGGACATAACATTACTCAGGAAAAGTGTACTTCAACCATTTCGGGTGCATATTTGATCGTTTCAACCGGACTGTGTCCTCCTTGAGCCTGGCTCCGGGAGCCTGTCTTTGTTTTACTTTTCTTTTATATTACTTGACGAAACTACCCAGTAGGTGCTCAATCCAGTCAATTGACTGACTGACTGGTACTGAGAAAGGGCTGGCAGTCCATAAACAAAGGAATCATTCCTAAGATGGCAAGCTAAAAACACCTTAAGAAAAAATTGCATTTTGAATTGACTAATTTATTTGCCTTTTGAAATGCCACTTCAAAAGAACATTTTCTTCTTTTATTGTGGTAATGTTCACTTAATTTTTAAGATGACGTGATTTATAAAAATCCATAATACAGTGTTAATCATATTTGCGATTATAGTAAGAAATATTTTACTGCCATCAAAAGAAATGAGCATTTTCACCTTTCAATCTCTGGGAAAGCCAAAAAATGTCTAAAACCATTTGTTAAGATAATTGCTTGTCAAATATTTAAAAATTAGTGCCATAACAAGATTTTTCACCCATAAAAGGAGATTTTGAAAGTAACGTTTAAATTTTTATTCTTGTAGACTGAAAATAACAAATTCGATTTTTTAAAAAACGGTGTAAAGTATATGTAAATGCTAAGAGAAATGTCTTTTATCCCTAATTTTAACCTATAGCCTATAGGAGATACATATAAATACCGGCCTCCTTCCATTCCTCCACCAATAATGAAAACTTGGTCAGGCATTAAACTAAACACAGTGCTGTTCACACACATACACACATGTGCACACACACACACACACAAACACACATTTGTAAGAAATATATTATCAAGGGTTAAGTATTTATTGTAAAGAGAAGACTGACTCTCACAAAAATGTTTTTCAATTCAAATTAGTGTTAATCCCTATGATGGAACTCTACAATGTCCTGTTTAAATTGTAATTATAGTTGTTTATTCCCTGAGAGAGAAAGAGAGAGAAACTTTCAGTCTTGTGATTTTCTGCAACGTTTTCAGAAGAAAAAAAAATGAGGTCAGATTTCAGCTTATAAACTCACGTTGGTTATACAATTACAGGATCTTCCGTATTGGTTATCTATTGCTGAATAACAAATTACCCAAAACAACAAACCTTCATTGTCTCACAGGCTCTGTGGGTCAGGGATCTGG